TAAAAGGAAATATTATAATGGAAAATATTACATATTATATTTCTATATTTAATACCCTCCCCTCAAACTCAATGTGAGGTAGAATATTGAGTTTGAAGAAATCAATCCAATCAAATCTTCCAAATTGAAGAACTCCGAGGTTTTTGTTATTGGTGATGGAGATAAGTGACTTCTTGCTTGCTAGAAGAAAATATTTAATGGACACATTTTTTTTTTTTTTGTAACATAAGAAAACTCCGAATATTTCAAGGGGCAAGGGAAAAGCCGATAAAGTTCAAGTTACCGACCCTTCAAAGTTTTTTCTTTTTTTTTTAACATAAAAAAATCTCTAGTTTGTTTAAGAGGTTGGGGGAGTGCCAGTAAAGTTCAAGGTACCGATCCTCCAAAGTTTAACATAAGAAAACCCTTGATTTTGTCAAGGGGTAAGGGAAGAGCCGGTAAAATTCAAGGTGTCGACCCTTCAAATAAAACAGAATTAAATTCCCATGAAAAAGAAATTTTTTTCTTTTATTTATTTATTTTTTTGTGTAATTGATGTTTCTAAAAACATGATAGAAATATTGAAAATTTAGGAAAATGACCACTCATTATTTGAGAGCTTCTTTGCCGAGAACTTCGAAAAGGAGTTGCAAAGTGACAATCCGACATTGTTGAAGTAGCTATTGAAGACCTCTGAGACATCTCTTTCAAGTTACTGCTATTGTGCTTTTGAATTTTATGTGTTGCAAGTTTAACCTAAGACCAAGTTAAACCTGCTCTGATACTAGGGTTGCACAAAAAAATCGCGAAACCTCAAATCGAATCGAAGTCGTTGGTTTGGGTCCACGTGGATTCGCGATTTTTTTTCTTTCAAACCGAACCAAACCGTTTCAAAATAGTTTGGTTTAGGTTTCAAATTTTAAAAATAGTAAAAAATCAAATCGAACCGCACTTTTTTAATTTAAAAAAATATTTTTATTAAATTATAAATTCTCATGTATAAATTTTATTAAAGTATAGTTTTTAGAACTTAAAGTATACTTTCTTGGAGGGTACAAATTTAATTAACCAACGCATGCATAACAAATAAGTCAGTAAGTGCTTCTCATTAATATTAAGTTGGGCCTTCGTTAAAAAAAAAATTAGACCCATAATTACAAAATGAATTGAACGTGAAATTGTGAATGTTGACCAGCCGTATATGCAATTACGCATTTGCAAAAACACAAGCAAACTGAAGTTACCAAGCCCTAGTTCCCTCCCTCTATCCCGCAGAGCCGACGCACGCCAATAGGCTGACTATAGTGCTTTGCATTGCACATTTTTATGTTTTAAGACCTCATTATTGAGATTGAAGAGTTGTTTTGAGGAGAAAAATAATGGTCTAATACTGGGCGGAGAAATGATTCATATGAGGTATTGTCCTCGTATACTCAATCTTATTGTTTGTGATGGCTTGAAATAAATGAGCCATGCTATTTCGGCTAGTCGTAATGTAGTGAGATTTGTTAGATCTTCCCCAGAACGACTAAAAAGATTCACAGAGAGTTGCAAGGAAGCAAACATTGAGACTTGAGTTTTGTTGTATTTGGATGTCACGATTAAATGGAATTCCACATACTCGATGTTGCAAGCTGCTACGAAATTTAAAAAAACATTCGTTGTTTTGGAAAGCGATGTAAACTATACAAATTTATTTTCTATTATCAATTTTGATATTTTATGCCTATTTTTTTTTAGTTGCTTGTTAATGATACTAAGAACTAATAAATATTTTGATATTTGCATATCATACAGAGGTCGAATTATGTGTTACAATA